GTTCCTACTAGTAATGCCAGGAGCTACTAGCAGCGTCCTTGCTACTAGTAGCTTTCTGCAATGGGTGCCATGAGCAGGCAAAGAAGGCGATGGAAGACTCATCGAGATGTATGGGTTTGGCTGTGCCGAAGTTGACAGCCAACTCCGTCTCATTGATGTCGAGATCTTCTACAAGCCTGGACCTTTTATTGAGGCAGGAAATCATTGACTTTCTTTGGAACCTACTAGCGATGGCCTCCAACCTACTAGCTCGCAGACACATGTACCAAGTCGGTTCGGGTTTTCCGTGTTCCTGGTGCAAACGAGAAGACTTATCCGAGGCCCTTCGTGGTATGTCGAAGAGCTGCAAGACATGGCATGGTAACGACATCCTGGGTGAAGGTCGGCCGCCCGAGATTTCGGATGATTTCGGATGTTCAGCTAGTAACAAGGACGCTCAATGAATAGTGCGAGCGCTTCTTCAAGGAAGATCTCCCCTTGAGGGAGGGGGGGGAGCTTCCTTGAAGAAGTGTGACTTATCCTGCGTCCATGCTAGTAGCTTAAGTAAGGTACTAGCTGGCTCTCCCCGACTTAAAGAAGTAGGCGCCTACTTAATTAAAGTAGAGAGTAGGGGTGAGCGGGCAATTGAGTAGAGAGAAAGACTTTCCTTTGGCCTTTGTTTCAGTCACCCAGTCCAGGTGCGACCAGTCATTGCCCCTTCATCGAAAAGATGAAGCGCACCGGGTGGAAAGCACCAGATTGTCCGGTCCGCAAAGTGAAGTGCAATAAGGTGAAGCTTTGAGAAGCGTCCGATCGCGTTCGTAGCGATGCCAGGAGCCCCTAGTAGCAAACATTGCTCCTAGTAGCGATGCCCTTCGCTCCTAGTAGCTTCTTGCTCCTAGTAAGGTGAAGCTTTGAGAAGCGATTCTCGAGTTTTAGAAGCGACTTGAAGTCTTTAGCTTTGTTTGTGCCGACAAAAACCGGGCAGGAAAATCATTCATCCTTTTAATTGGCCTGGTAGCCTGGCACAGTGACAAGCACAGTGGCACACACTAGCACCGTGGCTCCATGGTTTCACCCGTACACAAGCACGCCGGAATGACTTGCCTTAAGCGCGCACGGGCCGCTCTCCTTTCGATGGACAAAAATGGCATAAAGAAAGTGCTCATAGCTGCCGAGAGCTTCGCACGATGAGAGCACTATGACTTGGAGCGACGGCCTCCAACTCGCTGAGGTTTTTTATTTGTGATGCTTGCCGGAACTTTGACCAGCTTGGGGAGATAACGGCGGAGACCAGGCGCAGAAGAGCACTATAGAGGCCTAGAAGCTAGTAGAAGCGCGAGCAGAAGACGTATTTTGGGAAACAAGACCAAAACAGAAAGCCAAAGAAAGTACACCTGGTCTACACAGAGTGTCAGCTAGAGTGTCAGCTTCCGAACGCTTCTCCAGCTCTTCCTTCTCGTTCGGAGGTGTCGGGACCTGGAAGACTTGCGGAATTCAACCGAACGAATTGCAGTCAGCTTGAGCCTTCACCCCAGCGAGGCCTTGAGTTCGAGCAGATCATTGAAGCTAGGAATGGCCTCCATGTAATTCCATGGCACTACCATGTATTCTCTCCCCTCTTCTTATCTCAACAAAAAGGCTGCATGTTCAGAAGTTTGATGAGCGTTTTTTGTCATCCAAATTTTCGTTTTCTTCCTAATAGAATTCTTTCTCTTTCGACCTTTGGACCGTCTCTAGCTTCTAATTTAATCAACTCTAGTAATTGAATTCTAATTTACTTCTTGTTTCTAATAGCAAACATTGGTACTACTAGTAAGGCACTTGTTACTAGAAGCGATGCACTTGTTCCTAGTAGCGTCCTTTTGTTCTGACTTTTCGCAGATTTTTGCCCTGGCGGAGAATGGCTTTTTCACCAAGTTGGCCGCCCACCTCGTCGCACCAGCTGTGCGAACACTGGTCGGGCGCACGGTGCAGATCCGCCGTGCACCGGTCACGACAGTCACGACAGACTAAGGTGCTGGATTTGGGTGATTGGCTTTCTTCTGCTCTGAATCAGGCTGGAAGACACAAAGTCCGTCTGCCGTCATCCTTCAAATCGTTCACGTTAGGTACCATCCGGGCCAGTTCTGGTTGAGGTCGATGGTGTGCAGCCCCCAGACCATGGGATTTTTTGGACGACAAAAGGCAAGTCTTGGCCGACTCATTTTGTTTTGTTTCTTTTTGTGAGGATGGTGAGTAGCGGGTAGTGGGTAGTGGGTAGGTAGCAGGCCTAGTACTGAGTAGGCGGAAACGGCTAGAAAAACCGTCGCATGGTCGAAAGGATTCAGAGCGCAAAAGAGAAAGAAGAGGATCTGAGCAACATTTTCTGAAAAGAATCGATGAACGAAAAACATGAAACAAACAATAGCATTATATACTGGTAGCCTCCTTGTTCCTAGTAGCGATGCCAGGAGCCCCTAGTAGCGTCCTTGCTCCTAGTAGTAAGGCCAGGAGCCCCTAGTAGCTTCTTGTATGCTGGGGTTTGTGCACCACTGGCGACTTGCTGAGGTGTGGAGCGAGAGCCATGTGTATGCAACCGAGCCAAGTGCGACACTAAAAAGAAAAAGATAAACAAATTGGAAACATCTTTTTCCGGATCAAATTCATATTTTCCTTTGAATATTTCGCTTTTGGATGATGCCGCACTGAATCTCTCTCTGTCATGTTTTACCAGTGTTTTGAGGCTCGAGGTGCGTACCAAAGGACTTGGGTGGTGAAGCAGAGAACTCTTTTGAAAAGACAAGTGGTTTCTCTGGAAAGAAGGCATTGCTAGTAGGTTGGAGGCCATTGCTAGTAGGTTGTGTGCCACAGTTCATGCCGTTTCAGAGAGGAGTCTGAAGAGAACAAAAGCGAGGAGCCGGAGGCACACACTATGTTTCTCTCACTATGTTGGTCTCACTATGTTTCACCAAGTTTTTTTGAGATTTGTTGCAACAAAGATGTCTCCTAAGGTCTAATCTGCAGTTTTCTGCTGTTTCTCTCTGCGGGTTTTTGCGGCTCATCAGCTGACAAGCCGAAGAGTTGCTTTGTCCAAATGGCCTCTGTCTGGAAGGCCCTCCGCCCAGGCGACCTGACCAGAATTGGACACGACAGCCACCAAAGAGAAAGGTAATAAGGAGAAAGAGACAAGGTGCCTATTAGTAACAAGAAGCTATTAGTAACAAGTGCCTTACTAGTAGTAACAAGTGCCTTACTACTAGTAATAAGTGACAATAAGTGCCTTACTAGTAGCAACAAGAAGCTACTAGGAACAAGTGCATCGCTTCTAGGAACAAGGTTACTTAAAGGGTTCCGGTCAACCCAATGACACCCTCGTGTCAGAAAGACACTGAAACTTGTCAGTACTACTTTAGTACTACTAGTGGCTACTTTAGTACTCTGTGGCTCGGTTCATGCATTCCGAGGCATTGAGGTTTTGAGGCCTTCAGCTTCTAAATTTATAGAGAAACTACACTAGCAATGGTCTCCAACCTACTTGCGATGGCCTCCAACCTAAGAGCGATGGCCTCCAACCAGTTAATAGCAATGGCCTCCAACCTATTAGCGACCACTGTATGCTGTTTAATTCTTACCTCCATCGATTCTCCACTCATTGATGCATTTGAGGTGATCAACCCTCCCTTCTATTTCAGAAAGGACACGCCAGAGAAGCAGAGATCTGAAAAACTTGCAGCTGAGGTGAACTCATTCAGAGATCTCACCCGGGCTAATGGAGACGTCGGCGCCATTGACCTCGGGACACACATGGTTTCAGAAAGCTGGTTTCGCCATGTCGCTGGTTTCGCCCTTGGCGTGTGCCAGCGTATTTGTTCTGGTGAAGGATTGGGTTTGAACTTCAATGTTTTCAATGAAGATCTACATACAGCCAAGTAGGCTGAAGGCCATTTCTACAGCCAAGCAATTTTCCAGAAAACTATTAGCCGTTCCGGTCTTGCAAAGAACTCGAGCCCTTCTGCATCCCAGTTATTGCTAGGTTTCTTTCCTTAACATAAGCTACCTTACTACTTAACTCTATACAGTTTGGGTTGGAGAGCATCTTACCCTCCTGAGCCGCCTGTTTAGGACATTTATGTCTTGGAGCTGGCAGCAGATATCCAAGTCATGGCCGCAGCAGGGGTCGTGGTGGCCATCTGGGGACCAACCACTTACGTCTTGGCAGGCGTTAGACGGTTCCACAGTCGTTCGACGGCGGATGGCGTTAGACGCTTGTTTGCTTTTTCGGCGACTTACGGACAGCGTTCTGGGCGACTTAGCAGTGGACGTGGCAGTAGCAGAAGGAAAGTTCCTAAGGTCTAAAGAAAGACAAGCAAGAAAGGAAGGTCAAAAAGAGCAGGACAAGAAACTTTTTTTGGTCTTAAAAGCATTCGTGTTGGTAGCCAAGTCCATTCTGTAAGGGCCGCGGCCTTGCAACAGGCATTGGCCACTTTTGCTGCCTTGATACGCTTGTCACTTTGATTCTAACAGGCTATTGCTTGGAGAAGGGCTTTCTTTCACGGTGGTTTCCTTGGGAGACCTGGGGTCGCCGGGCTCCCTGGTATCTCACACACTGCGTAGCGTGTGCCATCTCCACGGCGCTGCTGCAACCTGGCACGCCATTTGAAAACAAGGCTTTTAGCTGTTCACTTGAGTGCCCCTTATAGACTTTTTCTTGTTCCTTACGGCACATTCCGTAATTCATATCAAGTCTGGAATGCCTTACACGAGGAATTTTGGATTCCTTTGGTGGGAACTAGGGGATGCCGGGAACGGAGACATGATTCGACTTTTTCAGACCAGACAGCCTGAGGTACTTCCCCCCAAGCTGGGATCCGGTTGTGCTTTGCATTTGGTATCTCATTTGGGGTTGCATTTGTGCGTGGCTTTTGGCAGTGCAATTCACTTGCTTTGAGTCAGCCAGAGCAGAGATCTATCCCACCAAGGAGCTCACACTCCAGCTATTGTGACAACTTTGGGGGTTTGGCACCACCAGTTTTTACATTTCATGGAATGAAACGCTTCTAACAACCTGAAGTTGACAAGCGAAGCAGATTGCAGGAGGAGCGCAGTGAGACTGAGAGCCTTTGCAAGATCACCGCAGGTCTAGGCAAGACTCCTATCATTTGAAGCAGAATGTAGGTCGCTTACCTTGAGATTTCGAGATGGACCTCTCGAGAAGGAGAAACGGAAAAGAAGAACATGGACTTCATGGACACCATGGACACCGGATCTCTTTTCGCTACTAGTAACAAGAAGCTACTAGGGGCTCCTGGCATCGCTACTAGTAACAAGGGCATTACTACTAGGAACAAGAAGCTATTAGAAACAAG